TTACATTATAATTATACAAATATATTTTACAAACAGATGACAATACATATTTTCTCTTTCCACTTTAAAAGCAAAAACACATAAAATATGGGAAAGTCATCCTTTTTAACACCTAAAACAATTTTTTTTTTTTTTTTTTTTTTGCTTTGACTTAATGAATTTTGTTGCCTATAATAAAAACCACTAAGAAAAAACAAAAATAAAAACAACACACAAATTATTTAAACTATTATTATTGTTTTCTATTTAAGTTTACTATAATTTCTTATGCAGTTATTAAATTTAAAACAATTTTTCAGTAACGCATATAACTTACCCAAACAGCCGTAATCACATTCTCTAACTTGAAAAACATTTTCGTGGTCGTACAAGAAAAAAAACGGCACGCCTTTCCTGGGAAGGCTCGAAAGGCATTTTAATTTTAAATTTGTGTAACAAAAGTTAAAACTAAATGTATTTACTAAAGTTCTGGTACTTTTTTGTTAACAAAATGAATTATGTCATTAAGTAATTTTTCTTTCGTCGCTTTGGTTTGACAAGGTTTTCTAACTGAAACTTTTTATACTAGGAGAATTTAGAAAAAGAGAATATTTTTATTTTTTAATGTTAACTAAAATTATTTGAAGTATATTGTTTTTTTTTATTTGTTTATGAATTCTTATTTTAGTTGACATATAAATATACATAAATAAATAAAAATAAGAATTATATAAAGATTTTTATTTAGACATAAAAAAAAGATTTATTTGCTTTCTCCTAATATAAAAAAATCAGTTAGTGCCTTTTTTATTTTTGTTTTAGTAAAACAAATCGTTTGTAAGTGCAGTTAAGAGGGGGAGGGGTCATCCATAAAGCATGTCACCCTCTATTTGTCAATTCTTAACCCATTTCCTTCTGTCACAAACAATCACTTATACCTGAACCTCCCTCCCTTCTAAACTGTGATAGCAGTTTTTACATCAAGAATATTTTAATAGATTTGAATGTAAATACTTTACAGCATTTTAAAAATTCAACCTAAGGAAAAAAAGGCAATACGCATAGACTTAAAAAACTTTGACAAACCTAAGATCTTTTTATTTAAATGACTCAAATAAGTATTAATAAAGTTGAAATACTTTAATAATTTTTAAATTTAAAATTTAAAATTTAAAATTTAAAATTTAAAATTTAAAATTTAAAAGCTACTCTTGGTCTTGCAGAAAAACTGTTTTCGATTTAATAACTTCATAAATGTTATGAAAAATCACTTAGGAAGAGTGCCATCAGTTTTTTAAAATTTTCTTTGTTAATTATTTTTAATGAATGAGTTCAATACTTCATACGTAA